ATTCCATTGGTGGCTATGTTACTGGTTGAAGATGCAACAGACTGTGCATTCGAAGGGATTGCATTAGATGTTCCGCTCGAAATGGACGCGTTAGTGCCTGTTGCATGTGGGCCACCTTGGTCCCCTTGTTGATTGTCTGAATTAGACATTTTGTCCAAACGTTTTCTTCTGGATAAAGGTTGGTTGCTGTTGGTTATCTTACCACTTCTCAGGTTCATAAAACAGCAAACTTCTTAGGTTCCAACGTTTTTGTAATGGTTACGTCTCGACAATCCTTAATTCTGATATCCAATTATTCGTCCCACCGGGTGTGCCAATTTGTTTCCAGTGATTTCTGGTAAACAACCGCTAGTCTTCCAAACTATCGAATAATCTTTCTTACTGTTATTCAATCCCTCTGGTAACTCACAGGATCGACTAGATTGATCCTAGGACTCCTTGGACATTAAAGTTACTCTTACAATCGAACAAATATTCATGGTCAATATTGTATAAGTGTTTGGCTTATTTCGATCTCTCTCTAAAATGTAGTCAAAATGTGTATAAAAACTAAGTTACACGAATAGATGCTAGTTGTAATGCTGAATTGTAAAGACATATAAGACTGCATGAAAATGAAGTAAATGGTTTCGACTTACAAAAACGGTTAACATAAAGGGTTTCCGGAACATAAAAGTTTTAAAAGAAGGAGAAAACGTTTAATGCAAGAAATCTATAAATGATTTTGAGTAAAAGTATGCGTTCGAAGGACAAGACTTGAATGTAAAGGTAAAGAAAATGTGACAGTTTTCTGGAATATAAAGCGTTCGAAACATAAAGAAGACAATAAAATGCAATACTTTGAGGAAAAGACTGTAAATAAGAAACTTGTAAATGTTGTTTGACAAAAAGAATAAAGGTAGTACTGGAAATGGTAAAAAGGTTTTCACTAAATTAGAAATACATGTTGCTATCATACATACATTTTTCTTGCATTCGTTTCCCTTGCCATGTGGTAGTTTGAATGTTATTGAGTATTTTGTATAATAGATATGACACACGGAAATCCTAATATTAAGACTCCTATTTATACTAATTCAACCCTAACGGTCTTGCTATAGGATTATGCCACGTTTCGAACATGCAGGACAATGCTTCTTTCATCTTTCCACGTGTCCCCAAATGCTCCAACACATAACTTTCAAACTTTGAAAGTCCCGCTTCCATTTGAATTTAACATGCTTTGGTGTTTCTCCGTTTCGAACGTTTTTCCCAAACATAGCCTCGCTGTTGTTTCGAGACTCCTCTGGACGTGTTCCCATAATTGTCGTTCGAAGCTTCAAGCTTTGACACACTTATTCGAAACACTGCTTCTGCAACTTCGAAATTTGGCGTTTAATTCTATTTCGATCAGAACATTTAATTCTTTTGGCTTCTAAATAACATTATCAAAATCTTCAGCCAACAGATACTCCATAACATAACCCTCTTGTTTCAATTTAAAAAGTTCGGCATGATGATTTTCATACGTAGAGGGACCGAATCACAATTCTAGGGCACATGTAAAAGCAACCCAATTGGTTAAGAGTTGATTTTAATGCATCCACTTAAACCAATATAAATCATCACCTCTCATATAAAATGAAACCAAGGATAAGCGGTTTTCCAGTGGTAAATTGTAAAAACTAAAAAATTGGCCAACTTGGAATAACCATTCAAGGGGGTTAGATCCATCAAACACTTTTAGTTCTAATTTTGGTGTCCGAAATGGTGGTAGGGAGGAATGTATGGAATGTTTTGGTAGGGTGGCTGGTTTAATAAAGGAATGGTATAGGATGGAGGTACGAAAAACAAAGGTGGGTAAGGGGGAAATGGTGGGGGGATGTCACAGAGTAGGGCAAATAGGAATGGGTTTCATAGGTGTATGGGATTGAAAAGGGTGTTTTATATTGGGGTCTGAGTTGGAGTGACCATAACAGCAACCGAACTCGTAAGCATGCATATGGGTGAACTTCGGAGTCAGATTTGAAGAACTTGCTGCATTTTGGGGAAGGGTGGTGTGTGGATGGGTTTGTTAAAGAGTTAATTTGTTTAGGATGGACATCAGAGAGTCATAGTTTGCATTAGAAACCTGGTTTTCATTGTCCAGCCTTGTGTGGATTTAAGAGAGATGAGTGGTTTGGACAACGATTTGAACAACTTCGCCAATGATTTCCTTAGATGAAGGATTAAGGGATTTAAGTGGACTCATGGAGAAGCTTGAATGTAAGAATGAAAACATCAATATTAAGTTATGTTAAGCTAATGTTTATATCTAAAATTGCATAAGAGATAAATGATAAGACAAAATTTCCTTTGTAGTCTCATAATGAGCAAGGTTACAATAAAAAACTTTATATATATTAAATGTTTTTTATTCACCTATGGATTTTACTGTGAATTTTATAATATATAATAAAATTATAAAGTAAAGACTATTATTTAAGACAAATTTTTACAAAAAAATAACTCTTATTTTAAAAGAGGACAAATACATAATGTACTCAACCTCAAAGTTTTTACAAACATAATATTTTTTATAAATTAAATAATAATTTATAAAAAATATTATTGTATTTGTCCATGGTATATGTAATAGTATTATATTACATATATTTCCTCTCTTCCAAAATAAGAGTTATTTTTTCGTAAAAATTTTTCTTAAATAATAGTCTTTTTACATTTAAAATGTTAATATTAATTAATTTTTATCAACTTTGTCTCTTACATATGAATTACACCTTTATGACTCTTACATATGAATTACACCCTTATGACAATCAATTAAAAACAATTTTATAAAATTGTTATAGTTAATTAATCAATCATCATTTTTAAAAAAAAAATTTGAGACAAAATAGCATAGGAACAATGTTTTGGTGCCGGTATGAATGTGATGCTTTTTTGCAGCAATTAGTTTGTAATGGTTAGTGGCATCTCTTAAATTACAATTTTTTTGCTGTTTAAAAAAAATAAAAAAATTGAATTATATCTTCAAAGAATATATATTGTAAATAACATATTAGGTAATAAATAAAATAAAACAAAAAATAAAATAAATAAAATATATAGTAATAATTGAATTATTGTATAATAAATTGAATTATTTTTACTTATTATATTCTTAATTTACTAATAAAAAAATAAAAAATATTACATGCTACAAAATATTACTTAAATATAATCAAATATTATAATTAATTAAATTAAATAAATAATAAGATATCATAATTAATAACTTAAAAAATAAAATACCGATATTATTTATTTTTAGGACCAATGATCAAGATTATTTTTAATTGTAAAGGTTTTTTAATTTAAATAGTATGATCATTTTTAATTGTTAATTTCAATATTATTTAAAATAAAACAAAAAACACATAGTAGATGACACCGACCAGAGATGACCCCTATATAAGGGAGGTGTGGTGTAATTAATTTGAAAAATATAGTTATTGCAAAAAAAAAAGATTTTTGATATTGTTGCATTTTAGTAGTTTTGAACTTTAGGTAAAGACTCTTAATTATGAAAATCATGATTTCTTATGAATAATTGTTTTTGAAAAGCCAATATTGAGAAACATAAAAATATCAAGCATGAACTACATATTTAATGTTTAAAATTATAAAAAATAAATAATAAAATACAAAATTAAATAAACAGGACAGGACATATTTAATATTTAAAATGATGAAAATTAAATAATAAAATAAACAGGACAGGGCGGATATTAATTCCTAATTATCCAACCGTCTCATATGTTACCATTCCTAATTATGCCCAATGATCAAAAAACTATTTTGGAGACTAAACTAAACTAAGGGATGCTAAGTGCATGGAACTAAAATTCTACGTAGATATATGAGATGCATGCCCTCAGGTCAAATGCACTAACCATTTAACCAAGTGCGACTTCTAATTAACTGTCTTTTGAAATAGTCTATTTTACAAATTAAATCATTGATTTAAGATTATACCATTTTTACCCAGTTATCAACTATAGTAAAATCATCAATATAATTAGTTTTTACTATAAAATAATGATAAACAAAACAATTATAAATGAAAGACATCAGTGATCTCGTTTAAATCAAATTCAAAGTAAATAAATAAATAAAATACTTCAAAAGCATGATAGAATTTAAGGGAAAGAGTTCACTCAGTAGTGGCTAGATTAATTAAGGTTCGATTCAGCCTGCAAATTTCCTCAACTTCAAATCAGAAGAGGGAGCTTTGTATCCTCATCGTGAAAATCCTTTTCCCATAAAATCAAAACTATAAGAAAACAAAAACAGAGAAAATGAAAAATAAAAAAGATGACTCAGTTCAGCGGGGTTTTCGACACGCAAAGCAATCTCACAGAGAAAGCACTGCAATACGGTCTGTTGAGCTTGAATTTCATGGAGTCATCACCGTCATCTCATTTATTTCATCAAAAAATTTCCAAAATTCAACAAGAAAAGTTGATTTTCTAAGGAAAGAAATACATACACAATCAACAAAATCAGATGCATAAACAATAGAAATGAGACAAACAAAATAAATCGAAAGAGTAATTAGAAAAATTTATGAGTGGAGGCGTATTCACCTTTGGGGATTGAGAAATGATCCTTGCAGCTTCTGAATTTATAAGACAAAAACTAGGGTTTCTGATGGAGCGATAATAGGATTCAGGAACGCCGTTGTTTTAAAAAGGCAATTGTTACTTGTTGGTTTTTTTCGTCAATCCACGTACCGAGAAAAAAGCCCATGAGCTGTTACAACCAATTTACTTCTCATCCCTTTTATTTTAATTTATCACCCCTTCTATTTCGTGTGAAAAAGTCTTTTTTACTTTCTAACTAATAAGTAAAACAATAGTAAAAAATATTTACTAGTCCATAAATTTTATATGGTAAAGAATTTCGAAAAAAAATTTACACCATCATTATGAGAGTTTCATTGTTGTCCTAATGGCAATGATAATAAGGATATTTCTCATATGGTGTCTCATCTTAAGACGTTATACTTATGTAGTGGTGACGAACATAAAAACACTATTCGAGAAGCCATTGAGAATAATTCAATTGTGTTTGCGGCATTCGAGGAGACTTTAAGGGGACTCGAACAATGGATATGTAGAAGGTATACGAGAATTCATGTCATGAGTTGGGCATGTCATCATCCTGATGGTCTAGTTCGAGTTACTCTTGGGACAAAGGAGGCCAGAAGTCACATTGTAGGTATTGCAAAACCATCTACAATAGACTTTGATAAACTTGATGCAAATATGGGGATTGTTTTGGTTACAAGGTAGTTAGAGAAAGTCTTCACAACACTTATCTTCATTATTAAGAGCCTACCTCTAAAATGTCATCTTGCTTTCTCTCGGGCATTGAAAGATGTACTCTTCAAGGTGGTTGTTGAGCCGGGATCTGAAGGTGCTTAGGTTCAATTGTTACTTCTTTCCCGTTGCACTTTACAGGTGATCAAGCCTCAGAATAGGCAAGATTGTAGATCTGGGAATCAGAAAGCCTTGCAACAACTTCACATTCTTGAGTGCTTAACTACTTGGAGGGATGCTGATGGTATTTCCAAGTTAGTTGATAGTGTGTTGGGTAGCTCCGAGCAAGAGAAGTTAGGCCATAAAGGGGTTCATATTGACGAGTGAGATGCAAAAGTGAGCTCTAATGTCAAGCAATGCCTTCGTAAGGTTGCAGATGGGCATTTCGCAAGTGATGTGAAGGTGTTGGGTTCACCTAGTGTCGCCTCTAATAATGTGCATACTATGAAAGCTTTGGAGGCTAAACACTCATACAAATCGCTTCCCTCCATGTCGACCACATTATTCTCTGAAGCTCCTCTAGTGGTTAAAATGGATACAGTTTTTGTGTGCATTAAGTTATTCCTCAAAGGGACTTCATGTGGTAGACATGGTTTACGAGCTCAACATTTATTGGATGCAATGTGCGGAAAGGGTTTTTTTGTATCTAGAGATCTCTTATGCACAATCACACAAGTTGTTAACTTATGGTTGGGAGGGAGATGTCCGGTGAATTTGGCAGAGTTTGTTGTCTCAACACCTTTGACACTATTATTGAAGCCTAATGGTGGGATACGACCAATTGTTATGGGGTCTATTTTGAGGCAGTTGGTATCCAAGATTGTGATGAAAGGGGTCGGTGAGGATGTGGCATGATATCTCAATGACTTCCAATTTGGGGTCGGGGTATCGGGCGGTGCTGAGGCCATTTTGCATAATGTTAACAAGGTGTTAAGCAAGCGGCATAGAGATATCTCTTTGATTATGCTCACGGTAGATTTCACGAATGCTTTTAATTTGGTAGATCGATCACCCATTCTGCAAGAGGTGAGGGTGAGATGCCCATCTATTTCCTTGTGGATTGAGTTTCTTTATGGTCAAACAACAAGGTTATACCTCGGGGATGGACATACCATGTCAGCCACTGGAGTGCAACAAGGTGATCCACCACTCATTTTTTCCCTTTTGTTACACCCACTTATTCATCAAATTAGTGACAAATGTAAGCTTCTTCTTCATGCCTGGTACCTCGATGATGAGACTATCATATGGGATTCTAAGGAGGTGGCTAAAGCCATTGACATCATTCGGGAGACCGGTCTAGGATTATGGCTCGTATTAAATATTCGTAAAACTGAGATCTTTTGGCCTTTGTGTGATGATAGTAAACTTTGTGGGGAGTTTTTTCCTTCATACATTGGGAGACCAATGTCAGGGGTAAGTTACTTAGAGGGGCTGTTAGTTGAGATGAAGACTTTATCGAGGGGTTTTCCATAAAGAGAGCATCTAGGGTTGTTGAGCTCATGCATCTCCTTCCACAACTAAGGGATCCTCAAAGTGAGCTTCTTCTACTTCGTTCTTGCATGGGCATTGCCAAACTCTTTTCTGGCCTTAGAAAATGTCAACCTAATCATATGGGGAAAGCAATTATTTGGTTTGATAAGGAGTTACAGAAGGCGGTTGAAGACATCATGGTTGGTGGAGGTCTTTTTTTTTTGAAACCTTCAATGGAGGTTGGCTTCCTTACCTATTAGAGTTGGAGGATTGGGTTTGTACTCGGAAGTAGATGCAAACTCATACGTGTTTGTGGATTTTAAGGCTCAATCTTGGGTGTTACATGGTCATATAATGAGAGCCAGTAAGGTATACAATATGGACCTTGATTTCGACAAAGCGTTGGATGGTCTTAGTGTTGTAATCCCAGATTTTGACCTAAGTAGTTTCGCTGGAAAGGAAATTGTCCCTCCTAAAGCACAACATGTTTTAGCGAGTGCCCTTTTTAGTAAAAGTGCTCAGGACATGGAAGTTAAGTTTGACATGACCACGAGGTAGAAAGTTGTTTTTGGTTGTTTACAAGCAACACATACTCACGATTTTCTCCTTGTTATCCTTATTGATGATCTAGGATAACATATGTCTTCGGTAGAGTATTGTATCATCCTTAAATACCAGCTTATGATTTCCTTATTTCCCGTTGATGAGGTTTACCCTATTTGCTGCATGGCGTGCTTGGATACATTTGGGGGACACAATATCCATTATAAAGAGCCACTATGCCAAACAAGGGATTAGACAGCGCTTTTTTAGGCCTTTAACAGCGCTGCTAAAACCTCCGCTGCTAAAGGTATAGACAACGCTTTTAATGTGGAACTTTAGACAACACTTTTATCAAACGCTGTCTATTCCCCCCCCCCCCCTTTAGCAGCGCTTTTCCTTATTATTTTTTAATATTTTTTTTCAATCACTTTAGACAGCGCTTTTATGGAAAGCGTTGTCTATTACCCCCCATTTAGCAGCGCTTTTCCTTATTATTTTAAAAAAAAAATCAATCACTTTAGACAGCGCTTTTATGGAAAGCGCTGTCTATTACCCCCCCCCCCCCTTTAGCAGCGCTTTTCCTTATTATTTTTTTTAAAAAAATTTTAAATCACTTGAGACAACGCTTTCATGAAAAGCGTTGTCTATTCCCCCCCCCCCCCCCTTTAGCAGCGCTTTTCCTTATTATTTTTTAAAATATTTTTTTTTCAATCACTTTAGACAGCGCTTCTCATTAAAAGCGTTGTCTATCCCCCCCCCCCCCCCTTTAGCAGCGCTTTTCCTTAATATTTTTTTAAATATAATTTTTTTTCATTTAAAACAAAACGCTGCCTATCAAATTTAATCTCACTATTTTTGCACCAGAAATTATAGCTTCATTATAACATTTTAAACAACAACAACATCAATATACCACAATGAAACAATATTATAACAACATCAATATTCATCTCTTAAATCCTTTTTGCACAATATACACAACAACAACATTAATATATACCACAATGAAACAATATTATAACAACATCAATATTCATCTCTTCAATCCTTTTTGCACAAAATACACAACAACAACATTAGTATATACAACAATGAAACAATATTATAACTACATCAATATTTATCTCTTCACTCCTTTTTGCACAATATACACAACAACAACATTAGTATATACAACAATGAAACAAAATCAACGATGAATATATAACTCTATCTTCTACATCGAGCTGCACCTATATAACATAAAACAAAATCAAAAAATCAAAATTCATACAAGTTACCAAATAACAACAACAAAAACAATAATATTGTAACACAACTATAACGACATATATTATATTCTCAAAACTCAAAGTTATACCTTATAATAAAACTTTCAACTCCATAACAAATTGGCACCAATCCTCCATAAGTCCATCCAATTGATCTTTTGAGTATGAAGCACACTTGAATTCATCAAAGTACTACATAATAATATAACATAGTATGATTTAATTAAAATACTAAGTCATTTTATGAGAAATATGAAAATAATTCCTAAGTTAGAAATTCATACCGTGGATGGAATCTCTAATCGGTCCAAAAGAATAGTTTCTTTCATAAACCTCAACATAAAATAACCGCAATCTACACCATTGCGTTGACGAGGATACTACACATGGAAAGAAAATACGGATATACATCAAGATATACACCTTAACTTGTTTTATCAAGTATCATCGCTATATAATCAAAACTGTGAAAATTTATACCTCCACTTTGATCCTAGAAATATTGTTGACTCTACTCTTTGGTACTTGAATATCTCTTTGTGCTCGAAAACTTTGTAGAATGCTATAATGAAATAATAACGAATATTTAGAACTATCTCACATAAATAATTAAATATACACAGTAATATTTTGGAACAATGTCACTTACGTGTCAATCGTCTTCTTCATATCTGAGTATGTTGTCCAATCATTGCCCAATGAATCCAGATAATATATAATTTCTCTCACAGGATTAATTGCAACCAATAACCAGTGTCCACTGGAATATTAAACAAAGGTTAGATGGAAATTTTCTGCACAATGTTAAAAAACGAAAAATTATAATAGAGGTAATTTAGAATGAAAATCTTACTTGGGGCCAGTATTATATGGTAAAAAGAACAATTTTTCTGTATCTTTGTTGGCCATAAATAAACTGAGCACAAATGCTATTACTTCATCTGGTTTTGAGATTATTGACCCTGCATGGACAATGTTGGGATTTATGAAAGCGAATCTGGACTCCAATCCACGCGGGCGAATCAACTTGTCATCCAGAAACCTTAAATAAAAACATCATTAACATTAATTATTCATTGAAATGAGTAAATAAATTCTGCAATTAATTAAACAAAGTTGAATGGAGTATACCTGATGTATGTATTGATAACAGCCATGCCTAATGTCAAGTGTCCAAAAACTTCTTCCAAATCCTCCTTACCAATTGCTGTCATGCCTTCAGAACCATAAATCCCTTCATGCAGGGGTATAAGAGAAGTACCACCTTGCGAAATAGTTGTGAAGCTTATAAATGTCTGAAGGCATGACCTATATTGTGAAGTAGTTTTCTTTCTAGCCCCGGTCCTCTTAGCAACACTCTTTGTTTCTGTGGGAATGTTGCTAATTACAGGCTCCTTACCCCTACTTACAACTTCAATCTCTTTAGCAGGAATAATCTAAATATCATAAAATTAGAGTGGTCAAGTATAGGACGACAAATTAACATTATCTAAGCATAAATATCATATAATTTTGTTGTACCTGTTTTTTTGCTGTCACTGACTCCTTTGGCCGCGTAATCCCTTTATCTTTTGGTTTGGGTTTTGTAGGAGTCTAACATTACCATGCAAAAAAATGTAAGTAAAACGAACGTAAAAAAGGTTCATAACGGTTTTAATTGTACCTCATCATCTATGTGAACAAGCCTTGACGGCCATGCAACAAACGCTCATATTGCCTCTCCCACCAATGTTGCATCCGAAACTTCATCTGGGATTGGTAATAACGCACCCTCCTCTAAAGCAATAGCAATCGACACTTTCAAATATCCAGAAGGGAGCAGTTTATGATGAAGTACTTCTCCCAGAGTGTTATGGACTTTTCCCTTGTCAACCATGTGATAAGTTGGTGTCTCTAAAAAGAGTTGACAAGGTGAAATGCCATAAAATCAATAATAAATATGACATCGTTAATGTGTATATATGTCAGTTAAATAAATTACACTAATTTAATTTCATAATAATATATGTAAGTACCTCGGGAATACTCAGTTGAGATGCACAATTGACACTAGCTATGTCACTAGCTTCTTTAACACCCGAAGCTTCCCTTTCTGATTGGTATTGTCTTGCTTTTTCCTTCCTCAATTCAAGAACTTCAGCTTCTAATGCATCCAACCTTGCCTGCAGTTCTTTATTGCTAGCAGATTTTGTATTTGGATTGTTCTTTTTCAAGGAGGTTGGAGTAACCCCATGTCCTTTACCCCTCACCCGACCAGAATACTCACGAACATCTAATGCTCGACTAAGTGTGCTCCTGCAATCATCTGGTGGAGATGTAGACTGAGACAAACTCTCCTGAAATTCATATGATTATTGGAAAAACATGAATACTATATGTTAATAAAATTTTGATTTAATTAGAATTAATGTTATACTTACGCATTTTTCAAAAATTTGTTGTACATCTTCTTTGAGAAATCCATCCTTACCCACACGGGCAGCCTTCCACAAAACATGCTCCGGAAGAGATGTTTCCGAACTACTCTCTTCTTTTAACTACACATTAACACAAAAAACAAGCTCAGTT